ATAGAAAACCGAATAATCGGGCAAATGACCTACCTCTATGGCTTTGCTGGTACATATGCACGACTTTATTCTCTATTTTATGCCTCCAGCCCATAATCCGCACCTAACAAAAACATGTTGTGCGCGCATTTGTTTTTCAACAATCACATATGGATTTTCTGAATCTGAGCCGATTTTACCGACAATTAGCGAGGCCATCAAGAGAAAAACTACCACTTCGTATACACGCCAAGCTTTTCTTATTTTTGAAATATTGTTTAACGTTGCTCCGTCATGTAATGCTTCATTTTTACTAAGCCTAAACTGCTGGCTGTCAAACTGGTTTTTATTTATCCAGAGTGTCAGGACTTTACGAAAAGAGAATTCATATTCAAGAGCAAGAAGGAAAGAAAATTGTAATCGACCAGAACCGAATATTGCATACTTACCATATGCATTTAAAGAAAACAAAAAAAAAAAAAAAAAAAAAATGAGTTTAATCTTTTTATTCTTGAAAACAGAGATATTCTCAGTTCACGCTACATTGCAGAAGGGTTTTTTAATTGATTTACCTGATTCACAGCGCATCAACATGCATGCAAGAATTTGCAAAGTTCTTGCCTAACTTTTTTAAAAAAAACACGTGCCCTAATTCTTACGATCGGGAGAATGTTTAACACGGTCACACGGTCGGACTGGCTCAACACTTTGTATTGTTTAAGAACATCTATATGTACAGACTTTATGGAGTATCTAAGCTTTTCTTTCAGAATTTTGGACATTCCTTCCACCGGTCGTGGATATAAAAATATGGGTCTTTCCATTTGTAATCGATTATCTCAGGAAGTCCAAACTATAACCCCTATCGAAGCAATTCTATCTACGCGGTGCACCAATTACGGCACAAGGATACATTAGGCTTGAGCGAATGTATGAGCTTAAGACTTTCTGAATCGGTTAAAGTTTGCTCACCCGTGTCCAATCTAAAGGAGATATTTTGGTGAACCTTGAAATACCTGGTGCCTTAAAGAACCTACTTAAGTATTTTGTACTAAGGGCGAATGCCATTAAAAATGGTTCGGATCGGACAACTTTTTCGACCACTTCTCATATAATAACTTCTTATTTTGGACTGTATTTATATGAATAACTATAGCGTAACATATGGTATTCAATGGTAAGGCGCAGCCTTCTATAGTGGTTTTGCTATGAATTTTCTCATTTATCAACGAAAACCTCTTCTACGGCTCATAATGGACCCTCTTTACGAAAGACACTCCATAAAGTATATGTCAAGTGCATCTATATAATATGCAAAAGCATTGTGAGCCCCTTCCTTTGAATATTCATTAGGTCCGTTTAAAATTTCTGAAAGGGTAACATGCAGCCATTACTTCGTTCGAAGTCACTGTTTTCTTGATATTTAGCTTCTACATGACAATAACACGACCGACCGGGGTTTTGTATGTTTTTGTTTTTGTGTTTTTACTTTTCCGTTGTGTGTATTTCATGATGTATTTATAGTATTACATGCCACCACTGCTTGATAATTATATATGTATATACAATGTATATAAAAAAATATTTTTGTTTGCTTGTTTCTTTATACTTGGTTTATTTTGGTTTGTTTTTACTCTGTTTTCATTTTACTTTGTTTTCTTTTTATTGTTAATATTATTTTTCTCGCTACTTATCTGTGTGCTGCTCATACGTTAATGTGGATTTGTTTTTTTCTTGTTTTTTGTTTTTGTTTTATATTTGCATTAGTAGTTGTTTTCATTTTGTAGTTTTATTGAAATTGACTTGGCTCACGTCGACTCCGGCATAAAAAAAAAAGTTGTTTTCATGAACTGCGCGAATACGCTTGAATTCAGAACTTCTTCAACGCTCGTACCAGACACACGTGAATACGTAAAACAAAAAAAATATTCTATAAAATCGAAGTTTATTCTTCTGAATGGAATAAATATTAACAAACAAAAAAGAAAAAAAAAAAAATAGCTGCTTACTACAATACAACCAATACTCACTAAACACTATTTAGGTCATCAATAAAAAAGATTATTATGTGCTTTGACTGCTGCATAGTAATTAATTAAATTGCTTTCGCCATATGAGAAAATCAATGCCTAATGACGATGAAAAAGTGAAAAAATTTCAATATAAAACACATAAAAAAAACTTCAATTTCATCAGAATAATTGTAAATAATTGACAATAGTAGTTTGCATCAATTTGAAGAAACTCTAAACATATTTGTGAAATAATTGAACATAATTAGGTTTGTTAAACAAACAAACAAACAAACAAAAAAAAGAAGAAAACATTTCACGAACAAAGGGAAGTAATTTGAAAGGAAGCTTTGGGAATTCGATTCTTCAAGGTATGATATAATAAGTTTTCTCAAAATATTTATTTGCGTGTACGTCATAAGGACGAATGAATGTTTTGAAGAGAATTTTTTTTTTAACACGATGTACTGATACCGCGTCGGTTTGCTTGGATTAAAATGTGTTGTTGTCTTTTATTATTTATTTTTTGTTTTTATTTACAAAAAGTTTTTCTATTTTTATAGGAAAAATGTAATATTTTTTTTAAAATAGATTTGTTTATTGGTTGGTTGGGTTGTGGTCGGTCGCTCGGTCGCTCGGTCGGTGTTTTAATATTCGTCTTAAGCTAAATATAAAAATTTTTATGATAGAGAGATTTTCTCTCCCATTCTCCTCTGTCTGTCTTTTTCTAATGCATTTGTATGGGTTATTTTCCATTTTGTATTTTTTTTTTATTATTATTATTACCTTTTTTTTTTATTTTACATCGAACATGGTCATGCGGGCAAAGCATGCACTTCTTTATATATGTATAGCTACTTTTATGCAAAATACGGAGTGTAACTAGATTTTTATACTTGTATTCATTCATATATAATATACACATGATAATGCATCTTGCATTAAATTCTAAAGAGAAAAAGAGACAGAATTCATATATAATTGAAAGCAAGGACACTAATAGAAAAGCGAACATAAAAAATTACATTGAATATTTGGCAAAAAATCAAAGTAATCGCATCTTTTAGCGCAACTGAGATAGATATATCGGAGAAGCTTGTTTTCTTTATTATTATGTTTTTCTTAAAAAAAAATTTCTCTACAGTCAACGCAAAGAAGTAGGGTTACGAAGGATATTGATTATCTAAGACATTCCATTTTTAATATCCATTATCTTATATAGGAGACATATATGTCTATATATACATTAATTCTCTTATGAAATGGGTGATGACCGATTTAATCACGATTGTATGTCTGTTTAATTCATTATTCAAGCGCCGGGGTCTTCCATACGAAATTTTTGGGCCGAAGCAGTAAGAAAATTTTGATTGTTAGCCTATCAGCATAAGGGTTCCTACACTTGTATTTATTGAACGAAACCGTCTGTGAAGTGTTTGGTGGGAAGAAAGTGAAACCCTGTGTAGATTAGCACCGAACTATATAGTTATACAATAATACACGCGTTTGCCTATTTAAATCTCCGACCGTTTGACCTTCTGACTACGTTAATATCATACATTATTCTGTTACATTGAAGTGTCCGACTTTGGCTGAATGATTAAAAATATTATTCTGTGTTACACAAAAGTGTCAAAAGTTGAGGAAGGAAAATAAAAGAAAGAAAGCTTCTTCGATGCGGTTTGTTAGTGAGCGCGATCCTTGAACCCGTACACCGCTTAATTGACAATCCGACTTAGTCATGTTATTTTTTTTACTATCTTTATGTGTAGTGCTGCAAAAAAGTAATAGGAGGACAATGTAGGGGAAAAAATGGGATCTTGTCTTACCGCTAACTAACCAAAATCGCAACATACGATTTTAGATATTTTTTATTTGGCGAAAAAAATTCTACAATCAGCAGAAAGAATGAAAAAATTCGTCGTTTGGTCCTTCTTTTTTCCAAATCATCAGATCAAAATTTGATATAAGCACATCTGAGAATGTAAAGTATTGCCAAATTGGCATAAAAGCATTTCTACACATACAACAACGACATCCGCTAGAATGTATTGGGTTTGAAATTACTGATGAGCATTTAGGTGGGTGGGCGGTTCAGCCAAAGATGAAATGCATTTTTGTAAAAGAAACCTTTCATTATATGGTGAAAATGCGTAGAAGACCTTAAAGAGTTGAAACCTTTCTTTGTTTCTAAGATAATCTTATGTTTTAAGACTTCGCCATTGAACGTATTTTAAAGAAGAAGCAGACCCATCATATTTGACATCAATAAAACGTATTATTTACTGCTATGTAGAAATTCAAATAGAAATGAATATGAAATATGCAATATATGAAATATGCCTTTCTGGTCGCTCGTGTTAACACACAACACGGAAAGATTGAGTAAAGCCGAAAGATTAACATAATCCCTTACACTTAAACCCTTTCAATTTAATTTTCAATGAGTTTTCAAAAAGAGTTTGGCATAAAACTATTATATTTTAATTTTTGATCTTAGATCACTATATATGTAGGAAAATGATTTGTATTCTTTATCTGTACGTAAGATTTTCGCCTACTTTTTCAAAAAAAAAAAAAAAAAAAAGGTGCTAAGTGAAATATTTTCTCTCTAGCATATGAACAAACTGCTGCTTAGCGACGACAAAGATTTCAATTGTATAACAATTGCCACGCATTTATTTACTCAATAAATTCACTCAATGCGCTTGCTTCTTCTTTTTCTAATGAGTATATTTAACGTGACAAACTTTATATAAAATGTTTGAATAATGTTTTCCCTTTTGCTTTAATGTGAATTCAATGTAATATTGTGCACAGGGAGATTACTCTTCTCCACTAAGTCTTGCATGTAACTTTTTAATTTAAGATAACTTACGTAGTAATATCGTAATAAGTATATTTGCTTTTTAGAAATTTATAGTATAATACTTTAAATGCAGATATATATATATATATATATATATATACATACATATACATATTTTTTCTTTTTCTTGTGCTTTTTAGATTACAAAACAACAACAATCGCAAAGTCCCAAAACAAGTCCGTCGCCATTAGATAAACGTGTCTTACAACCAAAACAGCCTAAACAACAACAATCGCAACAATACTACCATCAACCGCAACAGCAGCAACAACAACAGCAACAACACCAACAGCAGCAGCATCAACAACCACAACAACAACAACAACAACAACAATCGCAACAGCAGCAGCAACAGCTACAACAACAATCGCAACAGCAACAGCAACAACTACAGCCGCAGCAGCAATCCCAACAAAATCAATTTGAAATTCAAGCTGCTGGCAATAATAACAACAATTCCAATAACAATAATCATAACGCACAGTCTCAACCAAAGACACAATCCACTAACACAGCAGTTGCAACAACCATTGGTGAGTTTTTCTTTTCTCCATTTTCATCAACATAAAAAGCTAAATTTCACTTTAAGAGGCAATGTATAAACGTAGTAATATATTTTCTCGTTTTAAACTAAAACGCATATTTGCTTGATAGTCTAAATATTTTCATTAGTCGGTTTTCATATTAATTAATTAATTTAAAAAAAAAAAAAAAAAAAAAAAAAAAAGAAGGAAAACACTTATGCATAAAAATAGAACTCTGCTCGTGTTTCTATTATTCCCTACGTTACACACATATAATAAATTTAATAACTAATTTATAGCGTGTACGCTGGGCAAGAGCAATTTGGGATATTCGGTCGATTTAATTGCGTTCGTCGTCTGTTAATCTACTTGTAGTCGCAACAATTGGAACGGAAGGGCATATTTTTCATAAATATTCTTCTCTGACGTTTACGTGCGTCATTCAGAGGCCGCAAAAGAGATGAAATTGGTTGAAAACGAAAGCTAAAAATTTCAAAACGTTTCTATAAGTAACTTGCTGATATTGAAGATTTGACATATCTCTGCTGGAATCAAAAGCGGATAATAATCGATTTATGGTTTAAGCAATGGTTTAAGATAGTTTCCATGATCAAAATCCCGTCCGGCGAGATAATACGCAAATGTTACGCTCTCTAAGTTTGATGTTAAATATGTTAATGTGTTAATGTGCAATAATCAAGACCTTGACTTGACACTTGAAAATTCTTGCGAACAACATAAATTCCTTTGATTGGCCCATCGGATCACATCTGCCTCATTTCCGAAACAGTAACGATCTACCAGATAGTATTGTTTGCCCACAAATTGCAATCTTTTCACAACATTTTGGTGCAAGCAGTTTCAGACTACAGAAGAGCGCCATACCGAACCCAAGTAAAAAGCTAAACCGTGGAAGATAACCAGGGCAGATGCTTGCACGATCGCACCTACAATGGGCAAAAATTTGCAAAGGGTTGCTATTGATTGTTTAAGGACAACTGTTGTAGACTACTGTAACTCAATCCAAAAAATCGGGTTTTTTGCTTGGTAGATGCTTTGAACCTTCTAGAAAAAATTCCTTGCCCCTAAAATTTTTTTCCTTTGAGTTTTATTCGATTTTTCGCTTTGGAGAAAGCGACTAACAGTACTGTGGGCAATTGTAATGGTGATGTAATTACTATTCTAAAATATTCATGGAAATCGACGTTAACTGGCTAGAGGAAGCTGAGCGGCCTACGGCAGATACTGTGGTATTCGAAAATATTGTCGAATAAACTTTTTTTTAGACTGTTACAGCGTTTCTTCCTCCCCCCCCCCCCCTTAATGAACAAAATATTGTCCAAATTCTATGCATTTGTTTGAGGTGAGGCCAGTTTTCAAGTTCTGTGTCCTAAGATGAATACAATTGCTTTCTTTATTTACAATTTGGAAGAAAGTACTCGATTACCGTATAGAATGGTATATATGTATAGAATGGTATATATGTATGAATACGTATACATATACATCTCATCTGATACAAGATTTTTGGGTTACCTTAGTGTCTCCCTTACCTTACTACTCCCTTGTTCGAGTCAATTGTTGAATTGTTTTATAATTGCAATCATATTTTTCTTTTTTAATTTATCTTTTTTAATAAGCAATAATAAAAATATACGACGTTTTTAAAAATATTTAATTGTTTTGCTTCCTTTCATAAGCGTTCGCTGTTTAAGTAAGTGCTGATTTATTTATATTACCTTTAATGTCCATTATCTAGGGATGAAGGTATATATGTAATTCTAAATTTAAATTAATTTGAGCAATGTGTACGCTCCGATAATAAACTTTCAGAACATTTAAGTATGTTTAATCACGTTACTTTAGAAATTACCGATAAGATAGTAGGTATTATTAAAATTACATAGGAGGAAGAGAAAAAAAAAAAAAAGAGAGCAAGAGGTATAAAAATATCAATTTTATACGTTTTTAATATTATTTCTGTGCGAATCGAGATAAGAATTTCTTGCTTGATTGATTATATATTTTAAAATTTTGAAAAAAAGAAAAGAGGAAAAATTTATTGAATGAATTTTGCTCCTCTTTGTTACATACTTGAATATTGTTTGACATTTATACATTATATGTTTAAGCAATATTCACTTTCGTCACTAACAATTCTCTAATCGAGTAAACAGACGTCTTGTTTGCATTGCCTCAAATACATACTTCATTATTTGCTGAAAATTTTATCGGCTCGAAAAAATAAAAATTCAAAATTTTTCCTAATGTCAAAATATGAAATTTCTTTTGATTTCGTTACAGTTGTTTCACAGAGTGATGCTAACGCTCCCGTTGTGAAGGATAAAAAAAAAATAAATCAAAAAGTAAGCTCATCCTAATCCTCATCCTTCCATTTCTCATTTCATTAATCATTATCATCTTATTTTCTTTTTTTTTTTTTTGTTCAATTTTTCAATTCAAGGCTAGTGATTTTAGTAATGTTGGTGATTGGCCAATGTTAATTGGTGGGAAAATAACAGGCAACGAATCAAAACGCTCGACAAAGAAGCGATATAATAATCATCATAAAGACGAATCCTCTAATAATAATATAATCAGTAGCGGTAAAACATCTGATATTAATCCAAGCAACGCGCAAACTTCTCCTGCCTCTGCAAGTGCTATCCATAATAGTAATAATAATCAGAAATCTGATATAAATTCAATTTCTAACGAAAAATTATTAGCAGCCACTCCCACAACTAATAAAGAAAATCATGAGCCAAAATCGAGCACAGTTAACCAAACCGTGGCGCAAGTTGGAGACGTCATTAGAAACTCGGGAGGCACTGGAAATACCACCAATGGTACGCCAGTGTCTGCCTCAAGTTCAAATGGCATCAATAAAAAAATCCCCAAGCACAAATGGCGACCTTTACAAATCGATCTTGCAAAATCTAATCGACCCAAACCGATTAATCGTCCACCCAGGAGAGGTTTGCAAACACAATCTCGTTACCAAGAACACGTCAACAATCGGAGCGACACCAATGGCCCGGGTGGAGGAAGCAGCGATGAAAAGCGTTCAAATGTGGGATACAACACTGAAGCATTACCACGCGAACGCAACAACATCAGTAAGAAACCTGGGATTGCTGTTGAGCAGCGCTTTGATTCCTGGCGTAGCGGCAGCGGAACCGAACGATTCGACCGCGACTACGACTGTGCGCCCCGTACGCCAAGGCGATTCCGCACGTCGTACCGCGGCAGCCGCCAGAGCCGTGGCGGATTCTCAAGACCGGGACCAGGTCGTACGTCAAATCGCATACCACGCCATTTGTTAACCAACGGTGGCGAATTCGCAACTTATTTACCGGCAGATGCTGCCGGTGCAGAACAACCGTTTGTCCTTATGGGCACCCATTATTATGGCGCCGTCCCTGCAGCGTTTATTGAAATGGACGCTCAAAGTGTCAAGGAGGCCATTAAAAAACAAGTGTAAGTTTTTGAAAACAATCGAAAAAAAAAAAAGTAATGACGCAATAACATATTTCTCGATTACTTATTTTGATTTTGTTTATGCCGTTATAGTGAATATTACTTTAGTGAAGAAAATCTTACTGGTGATTTCTTTTTGCGTCGAAAGATGGATGATGAGGGTTGCATACCTGTCACTTTGATCGCTTCGTTTCATCGCGTTTTAGCTTTGACCACTGATGTGGCGTTGATTATCACTGCTATCAAAGAGTCCGATAAGTTGGAGCTACTTGAAGGTTATAAAGTGCGCACAAAAATTAACCCTACAGTTTGGCCTATTAGAGATTTAATCGAGCCCGGCAATCAAAGCATCTGTAACAATAGTAATTCTAGACCTTTGAACACATTTAAATCTGCCGCTAATAATGGCACTGCCGGTTCAGTGAATGTCCACATCGATACGCCAGAAACGCAATCTGTGACCGATCAAAAGGAAAATTGTGAAATCACTGATATTAATGTTAAAACTGTTTCTGCTTCCTTGATGACTTCCGAATATGCCAATGTCAACGATAATTTACCTGCCGCCAATGAGAAAACTTCGTCCTCATCAATTGTCACAATCTCTGATGAAATAGCGGTCGCTGTTAATGAGTCAAAAATATTGAATAGGACAACACCTATTATTGCTTACGTACCCGAAGTGCCTCTGCCTCCGATTCTCACTTCGCCAATGGCTACTAAACCATTAAGTTGTATACCACCACCACCGGTACCACGCAATCCTCAGAATTTGGTGCCATCGATGTTATTGCAACAAGAGAGGCAAATACCGTCCTCACCTCCTTTAAATTCTATCAGTGCTCTTACGAAAAAAGTGGAGGCAGCTAAGGCAGCTGAACAAAAGAAAGCGGGTGGAGCGGTGACTGAATTAGTGGACCATTTAAGTGGATTGGCGGAGAGTGTTAAATCGGCGGTAGATACTAAACTAAAGAATGCTAATCAACCGAAGTGCACATCGACCCCTCAAAAGAAGAAACATAACGAAAAACAGCAGCAGGAAGTGAAGCCGTCAGTGATAGAAGAGGCGACGGCCGCAGAGCCGGCCGAAGGTATGTGGAAAGAGGTAAAAAGACGCTCAAAATCAAATGCTTATAAAGATACTAAATCTGCTACAAACTCGACACAAATGTCATCATCACAAACTCCACATGGCTCTTCTTCCTCAATCACATTTACCACAAACTCCTCTCTCACCACTATCAACTCCACATCAATAACCCTCACAAAAACCACGAACAACAAAAATCATACCAAATCATCTACCACCGATTCATTAACAAATTCTTCCTCCAATGCCACCAATATCAATTCCTTTTCCTCCTCCTCTAAAAAAACAGCAGCGTTTTCCTCTACCGGGAGCCACCATCACGGCCCGACAATCGAGAAGGAAGAATTAGATTTCCAATTTGACGAAGAACTGATGGATCCAATACCCGCCACTGGACGCGTTAATAATTTTACTGAACATTTTTCTGATGACGATGAGTCTGATTATGAGTTTGCAGATCGGGATATAAACAAATTGTTAATTGTAGCTCAAGTGCAAAGAGCGCCAAAGCACGAGGGCTATGATCGCACTGCCGACTACACAACACGCACTAAAATTACGCAAGATTTAGAAAACGTGATAAATGACGGTTTAGCCAATTATGAAGAAGATCTATGGACTACCTCAAATACGGCTAATAATTATCGTACTGTAAATGTTATATCGCAAGAAGACTTTGAAAAGTTATCGGGTCAAAGTAAGCCGCAACAACGTAACCAACAGCCGCCGCCACCACCGCCGCCCGCATACGATGACGAAGATGTTACATTGAACGCTACGTTAAATGCAACGCTTGCGAACACATCAACTAACACTACGTTAAATTCGACATTGAAATCACGACGAGCTCGCTTCTATGCAGCGCCCAATACGCATTTGATTGATCCGCGTACGCCACGTAAACGCAAAACACGTCACTCTTCAAATCCACCGGTCGAGGCTCACGTGGGTTGGTTACTCGACACTGTCGAACATCGTCCACGCACTGCTTCAATGGGGTCTTCGGCCGGTACTTCGCCAACTACCTCGTCTTATGGTTCCTCTGTGCCTCAGTCACTGCCCGTTTTTCAGCATCCATCTCATGCTCTGCTGAGAGAAAACAATTTCACTCAGCAAGCCTATCATAAGTACCACTCGCGTTGCTTAAAAGAGAGAAGACGCCTTGGCTTTGGACAATCACAAGAGATGAATACTTTGTATCGGTTTTGGTCTTTCTTTTTACGTGAAAATTTTAATAAAACAATGTACAATGAATTCAGACAATTGGCGTTGGAAGATGCGTGCAATGGTTTTCGATATGGTCTTGAATGTTTGTTTCGCTTCTATTCGTATGGTTTGGAAAAAAAATTTCGCCCGCATATTTACCAGGACTTTCAGGAAGAAACTATCGCTGATTATGAAATAGGTAAGTAAACTGAAGAAGACTAAGAAGAAATACTAGAGAATATAAGAAAAAAATGAAGTGAAATGAAGAAAAATATTTATTTGTTTTTTTTTTCCGCCCGTTTCCAGGGCAACTATATGGCCTCGAAAAATTCTGGGCATTTCTCAAGTATTATAAAAATGCTGATAAACTTGAAGTAGAACCGAAATTGAAAGATTATTTGAAAAATTTCAAGACAATCGAAGATTTTCGTGTTGTTGAGCCGGAAATCAATGAAATGCTACAAGGCGTTGGAAATCTCAACAATAAGCGCAATTTTCAACGTCATCGAAGTGTTTCCGAAAGCGATGGAACAAAGGTTATCGTCGTGAATGGACGACGACCCAACACCACAATCACTAATCGCAGTGACTATGTTGGCAATCGTAACGTTCAACAATATCATCAACAACAATCACATCACCACCAGCAATATCAACAAGGTGGCCAAAACTCGAATCGTCGACGTGCTGGATCTTTCGGCAGTGGAACAGTACGTGTACGCAGTGGTTCTTTGGGAAACAAGCCTCAGATAGTTAATCGCCACAATCACTACAGTGGTGGTTCGTTCAATGAACCATTAAGACGTAGCGGTGGTGGCAATGGCAGTAACACAGGTCTGAATAATAAGCAACGTCAATCTCAGCAACAACAGCAACAGCAACAGAAATTTAAACCCGCCTATCAAGCACAGAATAAAGACTCACATACTAAAGCAATAACAACGTCAACAAGAACAACAATAGTAACAGCTGCAACAACGACAACAACGACAACAACAACAGCAATAATGACAGAAGAGAGAGGAAAATCATCGTCCATAAATCAACAAAAACAACATATAAACAACAAAAAGTCGACATTAGCGTCGACAGCGGCGGAAAAATAATTCATTCGTTCCTTCGTTCGCTTGTTATAAATTTTATTTGATCTTTCAATTTTTCATTTCTTTTTTATATTATTAATATATTATCTTCTATTCTTATTACTCTCTTACTATTATTATTATTATTACTCTTATTATTATTATTATTATTATTATTATTTTTTATAAATAACTTAAGCGCTATTTTCTACGATTAGTTTATATGCCAAAATATTTTAAACCAATTTTTTTTCTAATTCTATTTTCACATTTCTCTATTTTGGGTATTTTCAAGATACACGTATTAATGCAAAACCTAAAAAAAAAAAAAAAAACAAAATGAATAATCCCTTATATATGTATAAAAAAAAAAAAAAAAACAACAAACATATTCTCCGTAATATAAACAGGAAACATTAAACATAAACATAACGAACTCTATAATGAATAACTGAAAACTATGAAAAAACAGCCACTCTCTTGTTGGTGGTAGTAGATGTTATTTAGAGAATATAAAGAGAATTTATCTCACAATTAAATTTTTTTTTTTTTTTTTTTGTTATCCGTAAAGAAAAAAATTGAAAGAAAAAACGATTTGCAAACTAAAATCAAAAATTTTAAACCTTTCCAGTTTGTTTTGTGTCCTATAATCTTTTTTTTTTTATTTTTTTTTAATTTTTTTTTTTTTTTTTTTTTTTGTATTAAACAAATTGAAAATGCTCAAAATTGTTAAAACTGAGTTTTGGTTTGATTCAATTTTTTTTTTCTTGAGTACATACGTTGTTAATAAACTGTAGAGAACGTTTACCAAGAAATTTTTATATTTTCTTTCTTAAAAAAAAAAATTTTTTTTTTTTGTTTGTTTTTTAAACGTGTGGTCGTTATTTTAGGCTTGAAAAAAGTGAAAAGAATAGAAGAAAAAAAAAACCAAAGGAATAAACAAATCACACTTTATAAGGGCCCAGAAACCAAAACGATATTCAAATCTTGTTTTAATTTGTTTTTGTATTTGTATCGTTTGAGAAAAAGTGCTTTACAGTTTTTTTTTTGTAATGTATTTTTTTTTTTTTTTTTTTTTTTAATTTACTGTATAAAAAGATAAGCTTTTGTGTTTATTATAATTTTTTTCAAGGTACGTTGGCAAAATTGTAATTGATTGTTTTGATCCCTTTAAATCAATTCGGGGACAAGTTTTAGTGTAATGTAAGCATTATTACGTTAAAGATAAGATTGAGTTTCCAGAAAGAGTTAAGACAATGTTATAAAGTGAATAAGATAGCCACAACTGCGCAGTAGAATATTTACGAGTCGTCAAATCATTTTAAAATAGAAATATAATCAATGTAACGAAAATAGTTAACGACTGCGTAATTGAAATTTTGTAAATTTTTCAATTAACTTTTTTAAGATAACATTATGGAAATCACGCTAAGTAGCTGAGCAGCTTACTAGTTAAAATCTTGCACTTCCAATTATGCTTTTCGTGGCTTATAGTTCTCGTAATTATTGCAATTAACTCTAGGCAATGTAAAATGACAATGTAATCGTCTGCTCTGCAATTCTGTATTGAACTTTTATAATTTTCGAATGAATTTTTAAGACGAAATTTTAGAGTCAATTGCCTGGTCATAATATTTTTAAATAAGATTGCAAACTACAGATAGCCGAGCGCTTAGATCTGCGACTGAAAGACACGATAGCTGAAAAATTCCTAATTAAGTGGCGAAATATCGTTCAAAGTTTAAATAAAACTTATATTAAATAAAATGAGGAATAAAAGATATATATGTATATTTTATCTTATACGCGAAATAACGCCACATCGATGGCTGATTATATTAACTCTTAACAATTCATTTTTAACCCGTTAACTCGTATCGATCTCTTCAGAGATCTACTCGTATACTTGCCAAACGTAGGAATTATAACTAAACAACTTGAGAAAATGATAAAAATATTTTCTAAAATATATTATTATGGCAAATATATATTCATAATATCAAATTTTTTGTAAGGATATCCGACAAGGGCGGATGGGCGGATAATGACGTATATATTCGTATATACAGAGCTAATTAGTTAGAGGATCATATATATGCTTATGAAATTAGTAAAATAACTGAATCTTTCAACAATCTTTCGTAAAAGTTGAGGAAGATTTTTAGTTAAAAGAAAATATTTATTACATTTATGATCATTGCCTATAAAATTATTTACATTTATTACATTGTCTCTGACGTCGTATATGATTATATTTGCAATAATTTGGAACTCAATCTAATTATTACTATTTTAAAGTTCCTCGTATAAGTTTTATGTTATGTATTTAGATATGAAAAGGTGGTAAAGGTAACCGGTTTAAATTATATAATTATAAGTGAAGGCTTCTAGAAAAATCAATGTTAAGTAAGAAGGAGTTCATTGCTTCCTTGTCATCTGGGAATCTTTTTAAATGTAAGGTATGCCAACGAGCTTATGTATACGTATACTAAACCTAATAATAATTTAAACTATAGGTCACGCTTTTATAAAGATCTAATATGCTACTATATATAAAAAGGATCATATTTTTTTACCCAAAATATAAATAGAATTTTTTTTCATATTTTTTTTTTTAATTCAATTCTGCTTCTTCTTCTTCTTGACTGTTCTCATCTTCTAGTAACAATTTTTTAAGATCCTCAATCAATTAAACATGAAATGCTAATATTAAAAAAAAAAATAAAATTTTTTTTTTTCTTAATATTGGAAAAACAATTTTTTGAAGGATTATAATAATCGTATCTGATTTACATGTTATTTTGTGCATTATTGTACAAATTTTTACAGAGAAAAATAAAAATCTATGAGACTTATTCTCTAAAATATATAAATACAAATAAAATATAATTTATATAAAAATTATTTTTATATAGAAAGTAACATAATTTAAAATGTTATAATCGGCAAGACTAATACTAATATAGTGTTTTATGAAATAGATTTAAAAATCATAATGAATTTCGCTAAAAACAAGACATTGATATGGAATTAAAATCATATACATATATATATACACACATATATATATATAAATATATATATATATATATATATATAT